GATTGGCTTCATACTTTGGTAAATTGTTGTCCGATATGATAGTAATAAATCCCTAAAATATAAACGCATTAAAAAAATATTTGTAAAAAGTAGAGGGGGTTGAAGTTTTGACGTTAAGGGTAACATTGTCATTTTCAAATCCGTATAACTATTACAAAAGTTAATGGATTTTAATTTATCTATAATGAATTTTGATGCATTTTTCACGTACTTTTCAAAAATGTATACAAAATTTAAAAAAAAAAAATTTTGACCCCTTTTTTCAAAATCAACCCTTATTTTTCGATTTTCACCCCTTCGGTAAAGTAAAGTGGGACAACAATAATTTTGTGAGAATCCTAATATTAAATAATCATAAATATTAAATCCAAGTTTATAATTATTTTAATTATTAAGAATCAGTTTGAACGAAAATTCCCTTAAGAAGTTGTCCAATTGATTCCTAGTCATCATGATGTACGTTGGAGTCATCCTGGAGTATCGATTGTTTTATTACAGCTAAAATTCCCTGAAGAAGTTGTCCAATTGACTCCTAGTCATTATGATGTACGTTAGAGTCATCCTGGAGTATTGATTATTTGATTACAGCTAATTCTCTCGACTGGTTGTCCCATTGAGTCCTAGACATCATGATCTACGTTAGAGTCATCCTGGAGTATTGATTATTTGATTACAGCTAAATTTCCCTGAAGAAGTTGTCCAACTGACTCCTATTCATCATGATGTACGTTGGAGTCATCCTGGAGTATCGATTGTTTGATTACAGCTAAAATTCCCTGGAGAAGTGTTCCAATTGATTCCTAGTCATCATGATGAACGTTGGAGTCATCCTGGAGTATTGATGGTTTGATTACAGCTAAACTTCCCTGAAGAAGTTGTCCAATTGACTCCTGGATATCTGGATGTACGTTGGAGTCATCCCGGAGTATCAATTAGTTGATTGAAACGAAAATTCCATGAATTCTGGGAAAAAACCAAAAAAATTCCGGGAATGTTCTCAGAATGTTCTGGGAACTACTCCCAGAGTCACTCTGCAAAAATTCCGGGAACCTTTTCACGTGGGTTTGTAGATTTTCTTTAATAATAAGATTCTTGTATTGTAATTACATATTAAAATTGACGTAACAGAAATTATTGTCACAATATCAGTTTAGTTTTCAGTACATTTTTAATTTATTGACACTGCCTACTTAAAAGATTTTTTTACAGTTTACAATTATGCCTCTACATTTGCTGCTTAATCCATATGAATCAAAATCCATCTAAAGACAACATTCACAGATATACCTAATAATTAGTTTTGAAAATAGATTTGCGTTCTTTGTATGCCCTGTGCAATGACCATAATTTTGGTCAGTTACAGTTTGCTGCAGGAACATAAAGCCAGTCTAAAAACTTTAATTATTAGTATTTTACTGTTATTGAAGATAATAATAATTAGGAAAAATGTCTACCACATTTCAAGCACACTAACTATTTGAGGGAATTAATTTCACTGATGAAAAAAAAGGAAACTGTCAAAATGAATATCATATTAGGTTTGTCGAATTATAATAATAAGATTTATGAGCGTTAATTTTTTGGAATCTTATAAGTAAAATTAACATAAATTTGAAATTGATAAAAAAATGTGGTTTTCTTTTAAATGTAGGTAAAAGAATACATTCCGCCAAAATGTTATCTGAAAAAATTTCCTTGAGTATGACACTTCTAGTGGATTACAATATAGGCAATTCTCACAGTTATAGAAATCATCAACAACAAGCTTTACTAGGTAACATCAAATTAAAAATAATAATCACTGATAAACATGTTTATTTTACTTGAACTTAATAAATTATAAAGAGCCTTATTTCCGTTTAAAAAAACGATTGATTGACATTGTTTTATTTTTATAAAGTATTTATTGTTTGCTACAATATAAATGAAGTCTACTTTAAATATAAAAGATTATTACAATTTTTGATACGTGTTTAATTTATTGACATCATCCACTTACAAGATTTTTCTTTTACAGCTTACAACCATGCATTTACACTTACTGTCTAACCCTTAGAACGAAAATTAACTGAAGACAATATTCATGAACAAAACTAATAATTAGTCTAGAAACTTTTATTATTCGATTCTGTTATTGAAGATAATGATAATGAGGAAGAGCGTCCATCATATTTCAAGCAACAAATATCTGTCAAAAAAATAAGAAACTACTTGAATTAAAACAATATTTGGTGAACGAGTTACTTACTTACTGTAAACTGAGACGATTTCAAGATGGATAAACATTATACACATTTAGTGATGAAAAAAGAAAACACTCAGAATTTCACAAATACTATACTAACTGCAGGAACTATTGTCTACAAAAGATAAGATATCAACAATTTAATACTAACTCGGCGAATTTAATGTTATTATGAAAATTCGATAAAACCATGAAAAAATAGATACTTTTTTTATATCGATAAAGGTTCTATTCTAAGGACAAAAAAAAGAAATTAAATAAATTTAAAATTTGTTAATCGAGGGTTGATGGGTCGCTGGTTACACAGGAAAACTTGGACTCATTTTTGCTGCAACTCAAAATGAGTTCATGTTAAATAACATAAAAAGATGCTCCACCAACCAACTGATTTTTGTTGAGTATCATATTTAGTTTCGTACACGTTACTCATTTTCAAATCAGGTTTCTTTGGTGTATGAATCTGCAAACAGATTTTAAAAATTCAAAATGGCGGATTTAATTTGGCGATAAATATGTAAAAATTTTATAGGATTCGTTTGAAACTTTTGAATATTTTAAATCTGATATCAAATCTAACGTCAGCGACTCCAAAAACCTATAAGTAACAAATTTTATGAGAATTTAATTTTTTTATCTATGCATTTCATCCACTCAACTAAAAATGGACAATTTTCAACCTCACAATCGAACCGTTCCCGTTTAAAAATACGTATCAATTTTTTTCAAAGTTGTATTAAATTTTTAATATTCAATTAAGTATGTTAATGGAAAATCGGTCAAGCTCTCTAACGGATACTATATTAGTAGTCGGGCAGTAGTGAATGATGCATACTCGCTCCTTGCTTGACGACTACCATTAAAAGGTGAGCGTTCGACCGTCTTTTGCACTGAAATTCTTAATTGCAATCGGCGAGTTTTACTTGTTTCAAACTTTTGTACACAAAATTCCCATTAAAAACGTAAAATGATACCTGATGCAACGATTCTGGTATCAAGTTGACGCAAATGCCTTTAACCATTTTGATTTATTTAGTTGTAAACTTCTATACTCGAAATTCCTGTAGAAGATGTCAAAATGACACCTGGTGCAACGGTTAGGGTGACAGGTTGACGTAAGTACCTTAAAATGTCTTGATTTACTTTGTTTCTTACTTTTAAACTAGAAAATCCCGTAGAAGATGTCAAATTGACACCTAGTGCAACGGTTAGGGTGTCAGGTTGACGTAACTACCCTAAAATGTCTTGATTTACCTTGTTTCTTACTTTTAAACTCGAAATTCCCGTAGAAGATGTCAAATTGACACCTAGTGCAACGGTTAGGGTGTCAGGTTGACGTAACTACCCTAAAATGTCTTGATTTACCTTGTTTCTTACTTTTAAACTCGAAATTCCCGTAGAAGATGTCAAATTGACACCTAGTGCAACGGTTAGGGTGTCAGGTTGACGTAACTATCTTAAAATGTCTTGATTTACTTTGTTTCTTACTTTTAAACTAGAAATTCCCGTAGAAGATGTCAAAATGACACTTGGTGCAACAGTTTAAATGTCAGGTTAACGCAACTGCCTTTAAACATTTTGGTTCACTCAGTTGTTTACATCTGGACTCGAAATTCCCGTAGAGAATATAAAAATTATACCTTGTGCAACGATTTTGCTATTAGGGTAATGGATAATCTTATATATTATATATAAGATATAATATATTATATTTAATAATAGTATATTTTTCTCCAGGTTTACGATTTTCCAGGTAAGAGGATATGAATAGTGGGCAGAAATTTGCTAATTGTCTTTGGCACATTAAAAACGTAAAAAAATAAAAAAAATCTTATTTAAATTACTTAAATTCAAAAACTAATGCTTTATTATTTATTAAAATATATTCTGAAAGAAAACTCTAGTTTCTAATGAATTTAATAAATTTATTATATTAATTAAAAAACTTATTTTATGTTCAATAAAAGAATTAAATTCTAATTGTTCAATAAAAATTTGGGAGAATGTCCTGTTCTCATTTTAATTACCTTTAATTTTCATTGCATTTAGTTTTTACGTTTTCGAAAGAAGTTCTTTTGATCATTCCTTTGAATCATTTTTTTTTATTTTACATAAATTAATTTTTATTTACTTTTTATATCATTATTTTATTGTTCATACAGTATTTTGCTTTTTTTACTATTGTTTTGCTTTGCACAATCATTTCTATTAATTTTTTTACACAATATTTTTTTATTAAAAAAATTCATTCATACTTATCGAAAATTATTTTAAACTTTTCATAAAAATTTTCTTTATTTCTTTTATTTAAATTTTTATCAATCTATTATATAAGAAAGGCGTAGTGGCTTCATTTTTATTCTTAAAAACAAGAATAAAATTAAAATCGCAGTAACTGAGAAAATGAGTAATGAGAATAAAGTTTAAACATCAAAAAAATTTTATATCAACACTTAAAAAGCAGTGAAAAAATTAAAAAGCAATGTAAAAAAATAATATCAGTATAAAAATGAAAACTCAGTTCAGAAATAAAAAAGCAATATACAAATTTTAAAACTGAAAACAATAAAACAATAATTGCAAAGAAAAGTAACAATACCAATTTTGTCCCCACGGAACCATTTGGATGTTAAAAAACATCCATGTTTGAAAACTATTACTTTGCTTTTATTTTCAAAATAATAAAAATAAGTTTTTTTTAAAACATTTAAAAAATATATGTTTTAAAATATAATAAAAAATTATACGTTTGTTTCAGATTCGTCAAATGGCGTTCCAAAGGTCTAAAGGCGTCATCAGTTTAGTATTTTTTATTTTTCTAAGTTTTAGTTTTTTTTTCACTCATATTTTCTAATTCTTTTAATTTGATTCTTTCTTTAAATTTAAATTCTTAAAAAAATAAAAATTAAAACATATGCAGCAGAAAATGGTGAATAAATTTGTTTAAAAAGTTTTAAAAATATTGCTCTCTCATATTTCTTTTCCACATATCATATCCTTATAATATCCATTTAATTATTTTCTCAGCATATTAGCATTTAAATTGTTTATGCTATAATTAGCAATTTCTCTTCTCAGTAAATTCGCATTTTATATATTTAGAAAATTAGCAATTCAATTTTTCAGCGAATTCACATTTTAACTTTTCAGCGAATTCGCATTTTAACTTTTCAGCGAATTCGCATTTTAACTTCGCAGCGACTTCGCGTTTTAACTTTTTAGTTAATTCGCATTTATGTTTCTCAGCTAGTTCGCATTTCAACTTCTCTGCTAGTTCGCATTGCGAACTCGCCAGGAGGGGGACATTTTGCTATTCGCCACTACTTCGCAGGGAGTTCGCAATGCGAACTAACAAACCTCGCATTGCGAACTCCCTGCGAACTCCCTGCGAAATATCGTGCTATCTGGGATAAATCATAAAAAAGGTGATTTATGATTGGTTCATCATATTTTCAAGTGTTCTGCGCACGCGCAAATACAATTTTTTCGTTTATTCTCCTCGAAGGATAAATTCATACTCGAGTTTATACCTCTTCGTTGCAAACAGCCTCTCAGTTAACTATAAATGTTCAACAATAGTCCAAAAAAAGATCACTCGTTCAAAAATCGACTTCTAAGAACACGGAAAAATCCATGTATTTGAATTTTTCATAAAATAATATTAAAACGTATATCAATGCCCTCAAATCCCCCATGTTTCTAACAAGTCAAAGTAACATATTTTCGTAAAATTACTGTAAAATCTATAAAAATCAATATCTTTTGCACGGACGAAAACGTTCAAAGAATAAAACCTAATTATTTATTTTATAAAAATTCATTTGTAACCATTAAAGTACATACTGGGTACAGATCGCCAAGGTGTTTTTTAAATCTCCGTAACTTATTAGGAAACTTTGGAGTGATTATTGTGATACCTCTTTATGACAACTAGTGCGCTTTTTCAGGAGAGGAGCAATAAATAAACAAAACTCGCACTGGGATGCAAATCGCCTAATGTGTTTTGAACTTCAGAAAAGCACCTTAGTTAAGCAAATTAATTTCTTTAAAAAACCAATTCTGTGCAACTTTTCGTATAACATTCTTTAAGAAAACATCAAAATAAGTTATAAATATGTTTTGTAAAACTGTTGGAGTAATTTTAAAAATTAACATATTTTAGTTTTGTAATTACCTATCTTTTTATATTTTAATGTAGTTTTTTTAAAATAATATTATTCTATATATTTCATATGAGTAAATTATTATATATTTATTAATAAAATGTAAAATTGGAATGTAAAAAATATTATTGTCGAATAAAAAGGTTTACATATAGACATTGTATCTTTGCAATGTAGAGTTTTGTATTCAATGATGCCTTATCGGTATTAGTTTAATAAATTAAGTTTAATTGCAGGTATAATTCCACGCAATAAGTTTTCGTACAGTATATAGTAATAAAAAAAATTTCTAATTGAAATATTCTTTGTCTCTAAGTACTTTAAAATCTATCTTACTTGATTTGCAATTTAAAAATTTTTTTTTAGCTTAATTTATGTAATCTTTCAAAATTTACAACTACTTTTTTAATTTAATTTCGTACAGAATTTTTATTATTGATACAAAAAGAATTTTTTTGATAAATAAATAGTCAATTCTTTAATTTATCTTAATTTTCAATATATTCCCTGATAATGTTAAAAATATTACCTAATTTGTTATAAAAATACGGACATTTTAAGGAAAAAGATTGTTTTTGAAAAGAAAATTGTGTTACTGTTTATTCTTAAATATTTTATTGAAAAGTAATTTTTTATTAATAAAACTATTATTATCATATTCGTAAGAAAATTCTTTATGAATTACAAAAAAGTCAACTGAATTTCATTAATTTAAGCCAAAGATTTCAAAGTTTCGCGAGGTACAAATCGTCCATGTGTCTATCCAATGTAAGTTTTTGAAGTATGTATTTTAAGGGTTAATACTTTCTTTAGGTTCGCAAAATAACATAATAAAAAGGTTTAACTTTTTAAGATATTCAGCTCTGGCATTTGACTTTACAGCCCTTCTTGAATGCGCTAAAAATCTTGTTTACTTAGCTTTACAAGGATATAATACACTTTATATTTATCGTAATCCATATTAATATTATGAACTGATACACTGAAAAAAAACTAGTAGGTTTTACTACTTTTTAACTACTCTGAATAGTACAATAGGTCCTCAACTGAATTTAAACGGTTCTATTAACTATATAAAAATAGTTAAACCAATTAAAAATGTAATCGGTAGAATGACATTTTGTGATTGTATTAACTCAATTTAAAAATGTTAAAACAACTCAAGATGTAAGTAGTAGATTTTACTACTTAAAGTGGTTCAATAGGCTTTAAGAAAATTTTTTTGGTACATTTAATAAATATTTTGCAATTGAAACTACTACTTTAAGTAGTAAACTTTACTACTGAAAGTGGTTCAATAGGCTTTAAGAACATTTTTTTGGTACAATTAATAAATATTTTGCAATTGAAACTACTACTTTAAGTAGTAAACTTTACTATTGAAAGTGGTTCAATAGGCTTTAAGAACATTTTTTTGTAGAATTAATAAATCTTTTGCAATTAAAACTACTACTTTAAGTAGTAAATTTTACTACTTAAAATAGGAAAATAAAATTATTTTTTATTTATAATTGTTTATTATTAGTAGAATTGACTTTTTCATCCTCTCTCCTATACTGACGCTTATTTTATGCCCTAACGATTATGTACCTAACAGAGAAAATTTCTAACCGACGGGAATTGAACCCTCGACCCTAACGCTCGCAATCCGATACCTTAACCAACTAACCACGCTCGCTCGCTACGACAGTCTGCAAACTACTCGAAGACTACTTTCTGCTTGTCCAATTGGTAATTTAACTATTTAAAGTAGTCATTTTTACTACTTTTATTAGTTGCTATTACTATCCTTTTTAAGTTTTGACTTGTAAATTTTTCATCTTTTAATTATATTATAAGTTGTTTAATTGCATAGTGCAGTAAAATCTACTACTTAAAGTGATAGTTTTAATTGCAAAGGATTTTTTAATTCTACGACATAAATGTTCTTAAAGCCTATTGAACCATTTTGAGTAGTAAAATCTACTACTTAAAGTAGTAGTTTTAATTGGAAACGATTTGTAAATTTTACATCAAAAATGTTCTTCAAGCTTATCGAATTAATTAAAATAGTCAAAATTTACTAATTAAAGTAGTAGTTTTAATTACAGACGACTTGTTAATTCTACAACAAGAATTTTATTGAAGCCTATAAAATCATAGGAATTAATAAAAAATTTACTACTCAAAAAGCAGTTATATTAATTAAAGAAAATAATTCCTTTTACTACATTTCATATAACTGGTGAATAGTAGTTGGATTTACTACTCTTCAAATTTTGAGTTGACTACAATTCCACTTGTTTTTACTACCTTAAAAAAGTTAATTTTACTACCGATCTGTAGTTGTACTTTAACTACATATTTACGTAAAATCAACTATTACTTATTAACTTCTTAAAAATAGTTACATTAACTACATGAACATGATTAGATTAACTAAAAAAGTAGTTATTTTAACTACTTTCTAGTCAACTACCCAATGGTAGTTGAATTTCTCGGCAACATTTTTTTCAGTGTAAAAGTGCCAACGGGCAGGACACGTTTTTTATCTTTTTATCAAAAAATTCGGAAAATTTAATCCAATTTAAAGAAACATAATGTAGGTAAAAATATCGAAATAATTAGTTATTAAAAGAGAGTTTCGTTTTCAACTTCCAATGGGATATTATAAGTTATTATACTCGCTTAGTGCCAAAAAAAGTTAAAATATAGTAACGTAAAATTTAACTTCCCTATAAGTTAATTTGAGAAGTGAAAATTGTGTTACGTTACGCATCATCTCACAAGTAAATTGTAATTTAACTTCTCTTTTTTAGGAGGCTAATAGAATTAAATTAAGTCCCCTTTGGAGTCGATTTTTAAGTTGAAGAAATTGTATTTCTAACTCCGTTTACCATTTACTCCATAAATGGTTAAGTTATACAAATTTGACCAAGTCTGCATTTTTAGTCGGCTCATAGTAGGGTCAATCTTACGAAGATTGATAAATTTCAACGAGTTGCCGATTATTATCAGCAAAACTATGTATTTACAAAATCATTAGTAATAAACTTATTTAAAAGTAATAAGTTATTAAATCACGTATAATGTAACATTTCAGTAATTATCTTATATATATATATCTCATATCTACGTAAATAAGAAGCTCAATTATATATTTCAAATATATCATGCCCTCAGAACCAATTGCTTTGTTTCATTATACAAAAGCGCCCAATGCCTAATTTATGGTAAAATTGGAAAGCAATAAAATTGTGATAAAAAGCTATTCGAAGAAAAAAGTTCACTGATTTATAAGTACCCATTTTAGAGTTATAGAAATTTATACTTCATTCAAATGGATGATTTATCAATGTTTATATATTTTAATATTTCTTACTATTAAATTTTAGAGTTAAGAAATTATTAAACAGAAACATCAAAAAGTTTGTACAGAGTAGAATATTTTTATTTTTAGCGAAATCTAAAAATAAAATTTTTACAAAGTGGTCAAATGTAAAAAAGAAAATAATATAACGGAAAGATTTTTAAAAAATTAGTTGAAAGACATTATTTAAAAAATTTTACAGAAATTAAAAACAAATTATTTTATTACTTTAATTAATATGTTATTATGTTGAAAAGTGGAAATAAAAATTTGTATGGAAAATGAAGAACAAAATACAAGAAAAAAAGGTTTAATAAATTATGAAAGCAAATAAATAAAAAAATTTGTAAGAAACGAAATTTTTATAACATATAAAATAATTTGTCTTTGTTAACCAAACATTTGGTTACTATCTGTGCAATTAAATTAAATTTTCGTGTACAAACAACAAAATTCCCTCGTTAATTTAGCTGTGCAACTGGATAAAAGAAATATGTGTAAGAAGAACATAGCTGTGTCGAGAAAAACTTGCGCCCGTGGAGAAAGTTGAGATCAGACGCCCCCTTCAACAGTGAATTTCATAATTCAGCGCCCCCTAAATATGGGAAAATTTTGGCTCCCGTGGCGGCCGCCCACTCACCCCCCTCCTCGACACGGTACTGGAGAGGAAAGAAACTTCACTTGAAATTTTTTAATTCCAGTGTCATGTGTTGATTTAATGTAAAAAGTGAAATATTTTTTCATCAAATAAGCATTGACAAGAAAATGTAAAAAAAGCTGCTGAAATCTATTTACAATTCTTAATTTTGTTTTTTCAAAAAAAAATATATACTTATTATATACCTAGACACAATTTGAAAATTTTATAAGGGCATGATAAATATCAATTTTTATTATACAGTTAATCATACTGAGAACAAAGTTATTTAAGTAGTAACACCCATTGTTGTTTACTTTAATAATTATATAATATTCAAAACATTTTTATAAATTAAATCTGAAAGAAAAATAAATTTTTTTAAATTATTCCAAACTGTAATTAATTCAAAATTCAATTATTTCACATTTCAGTCAATAAAAAATCCAGTTCTTATAAATTTTAATAATTTATAAATTAAATTATTCTAAACATGAGTCCATTACAAATTTCAGGATTTTACTTCAAAATCTAAAATGAATTCAATTATTACACCTTTTAAACAATTGAAAATTGAACTATTTTAAATTTCATTGAAGTAAAAATTTAATTATTCGAAACGTTAGTCAAATTTAAATTTATATTTTTTTACATTCCAATCTGTTAAAAAATAATATTACTTTACCATTTTAATTCATTGAAAATTGAAATAGTAAAAAAAATTTCATTGAAAGCAGAAATCTTCAAGATTCCAATCAATTTAATATTTAATTCTTCTGAATTTTAAAAGTGCCAATAATTGCATTTTTAAGTGATAGGAATGTGTAATAATTGAATTTATAATTTTTATTAAAGAATGATTAAATTTTCAAGTAAATCAATTTTTTCCAAATATTAACCAAATAAAAACTGAATATTCCAAATTTTCAATGGACTTGAATACAAAAAAATATAATTTCAAATTTTTAATTTTAGAATACTTAATTTTTAAAGTGATCCGAATATTAAATAATTGAATCAACATTTTTTTTAAATTAGAATAGTCGAAATTTTAAGAGATTCGATTATTCCAAATTTTAGGGAATTAAAAATTCAATTCTTTTAAATGCACAAATTTTGAGATATTTATTTTTTAGTTGATTGGAATCTGTAGCAATTAAATTTTCCATTTCAAAAAATGTTAATACAATTAAATTTTTATTTAATTGGAAGGTAAAGTAATTGAATTTATAAATTATGAAAATGTAAAAGAATTAAATTTTTAATTGAATGAAATTTTCAATAAATAACTTGATGATTTAGTAGAATTTGAATTATCTAAATTTAAAATTTATTAAAGTTTAAAATAATTGACTTTTGAAATAAATATTTAGAGTGATTAAATTTGTAATAATTGAGACTTTTAATTTTAATAAATTGAATTGAAGTTAATTCAATTTATTGTCGTTTAATTAAATTATTGATAACTCCTGAATAATGGCTTAGTCTTAGAAAACAATTTTAAATTAGTAAAAAAATATATTATTTGAATTTAAAAAAAAAACTCTTTAATTTTTATAATTAAAAGTTCCGAAATTTTCCTAACTTTTTCCTGCCACTTGACAATCATATAATATAATTATAAAATTTTCTTCGTGATCTTTAGTTCCAAACATAATTTAATTTAATTTTAAGATTCAAAACAAATTAAAATTTATTTCGTGAAATAAAAAACAAAAATTCATCACAAAGTCAATAATTGAGGAAAATATTTACCTCATTGGTACTAACTATTTAAATATCATCAAAAAAATTTGATCAAATTAAATTTCAACTGAATTTCTTAGCATTATAAAAAACACAATAGCTATAATAATATTAAAAAAAATAATAATTATTTAATTATTAACGGTAATAATATGCAAATATGAGCACAATTTAATTTTCAAACATTTTTAGAATTTTTAAAGATAAATAAATTAACAATTTAAATTAAATTAATTATTAATAAAATTAAAAAGCAATTTAAAATATCTTTCGGCCGAAAAGATTTATTAATAATTACTTTGTTTATACTTATATAAATTCGAAGATTTCATACATACAGGCAAGAACGATACACATTCATACACCTAACCTTACAATTTTCTCGAAATACTTAATATTTGTCACAAAAACAAGCATTTATTTTACGAACCAGAAAGTGGAAAAAAGCAAATCACACAACATACACACACATACATATATGAGCCGCCGGAAAGTAAAAGGGCGCATAAAATTTGTACGGCCGTTCGAGTTGGCCCCTGACGCTTGAAAAATCGATTTAAAAAAAAAAATTTTTTTTTATTACTACATTACTGGAAATTTTATTCCGCATCTTTTTTCTTCTATGAAAAAAATCTCTATCTTTTTCGGTTTTCGAGAAAATCGAAAAAAACTAGATTTTTAAAAAACACAAATTTAATTAAATTTTTCACTTCAACTCGCTCTAAAAAACAAAGTTATAAATATTTTTTGACAAAATTTACAGGAATTATAGTTTAAACTATTCTTAAAACGACAAACTTTGTAAGAATGTGATTTTTTTATTTCGAAAAAAGTTATGAATTTTTTTGTTTCACAGTGACAAATTTACGTTTCCAAATTTTCAAGGGCTTCGTTTATCTGAAAAATTTTCAGTCAGTGAAAACTTATCCCGAAAAAAATGTTCACTAGGGTATTACAAACATTTTTGTAAAATATTTTTGCAATTGGAATAGCCGTTTAAGAAATATTATTGAAAAACAATTTTTCGTCAAACGCGCGCGAGTCAAAAACTTCCCGTTTGTGTAGAGCCGGCTAGTACTCAGCGATGGCTGCCAAGGTCGTTTATGTTTACTCGCGCGCGTTTGACGAAAAATAGTTTTTCAATAATATTTCGTAAACGTCTATTCCAATTGCAAAAATATTTTACAAAAATGTTTGTAAGACCCTAGTGAACATTTTTTTCGGGATAAGTTTTCACTGACTGAAAATTTTTCAGATAAACGAAGCCCTTGAAAATTTGGAAACGTAAATTTGTCACTGTGAAACAAAAAAAATTCATAACTTTTTTCGAAATAAAAAAATTACATTCTTACAAAGTTTGTCGTTTTAAGAATAGTTTAAACTATAATTCCTGTAAATTTTGTCAAAAAATATTTATAACTTTGTTTTTTAGAGCGAGTTGAAGTGAAAAATTTAATTAAATTTGTGTTTTTTAAAAATCCAGTTTTTTTCGATTTTCTCGAAAACCGAAAAAGATAGAGATTTTTTTCATAGAAGAAAAAAGATGCGGAATAAAATTTCCAGTAATATAGTAATAAAAAAAAATTTTTTTTTTAAATCGATTTTTCAAGCGTCAGGGGCCAACTCGAACGGCCGTACAAATTTTATGCGCCCTTTTACTTTCCGGCGGCTCATATGTATGTACATACACACATATATATATAATATATATTAATATATACATTTATAAATCTATTTATTTACTAATTTTAAAACATGTGTTCAACGCCATGAACGAGAAAAAAGTTCTCTTTTTTTCGGACAAAAAAAGTTAATTTGAATTAAACAAACTTAGAATTATTTTGCAGAACGATATTCAGGAAAACTCAAAGATAATAAAAAAGAAATAGTGTATAAAGTATAGTAAAAAATGGAGAAAATAAACAATGAAATATTACATACCTTGAAAAGCGGCAAAAGCTGGACTCTAAGCAGCCGACAACTAACACTCCTCGAGATGCGCGAGACGCGAGACTACCGAGACGAGACAATCAAAACTAAAATACGAGATCCTTGAGAGCACTCAAGTGCCATCTGTATGCTGACAGATGAAACCTGTGCGGATTTACGCGCCCTGGGTAAATTACACATCAAAGTAATGACAAAATAACTATTTTAATATTTCGTGGATTTATCGTCTTTAAGTTAAATTGAATTACGCAAAACAATAAAATAAACATTTTAACTAATAATTCATCATGAAAAAAATATATTTCTCTACATTTTTCATATAAATACTCACAAAATTCACGAATAGTCACTGCACAACTTTACACATTTATACTTTATTAATTAAAGTCAAATTCCACTTAATTCTTGTAGAAATCAATAAAATAAATGCTAATTTAGCATTATTATGCATTTTTTTTATCATATATTGCTTATTTGTCGCAAAATTTGGCCTCCAAGCAAACCTGAGCAAACCTGAGCGAATTCGCTCAGATTTCGCTTGACAGCATTCGCCAGGGCTGCAGTTAATTTTACAATAAAAAATTTATGATAATTTATTTCTATAACAATGTTTTTATATTTAAGGTCATGTTATTCAATGTGACGTATTTCCATAGTAAAGTATATGGGGCACGTGACCACTGAAGAACATGACCTTAAGACGTTCTGTTTTTAATTGTACTTCATAAAAATCAGGTAATTTGAAGGATTCGGTAATTTTTCTAATTAAAACCACAAAAATTGTAAGACATTTTGGTTATGTCATAAAAATTAAAATTAAAAATTCGTTATTAATAAATTTTGTTTCTCAAATTTTACAGTGACAGGTCAATTTGTGAGGTCCTTAAAATATTAAATTATTTTATTTTTAAATTAGTTTATCTCCATTTTTTTAAAAAATGGATTTATCAGGTTTTGAAAACTTGCTCCTTAATTATTGTTGAAGTAAATTTCAAAGATTTTAAATAAAAAAAGGAAAAACTAATTTTATTAAAAACCTTTTATTACTTGATCTTTTTTTAAATTATATTAGATAGGAGAATAACCGAGTCAAAAGCTATGAATGAATGTTAAAATACGAAAATTATTTTAAAAAACTTACATTGTTTGTCGTTGAATTCGTAGTTTACAATTACAAAGCCAGCTTCCAATTGTACTATTCATCGCTTTTATCGTCTCTGAGGGCAATAATACTTGCAATGCTTCTGTAAATATAAAAGTTTAAAATTAGAAATAATATAAATAGTAATAATAATAATAATATAAATAATATAAATATAATCAATAAAATAAATTTTTAAACAAGAGAAATAAACAGAGAGTCGATACTCATTTTTATTATTACTAGCGATGTATTCCTCGCTCGCTAACGCACGCTCGGTTAAAATTGTACTTATTGTTGTTTACTTATTGTAGTTTATGTATATTATATATATAATTTATGATTTAAATTAATATCTTATTAATATTGTATAAAATTTATCTTAATTTTGATCAGTTTCATTGAAGGATGAAATGACAATTGTTAAATATTAGATTTTTTTTATTATAATTATGACAACAATATTAATTATATTATATTATAATATATTTTTTTTATCTTAAATTATATTATATTATATTGATGTAAATTGTCCCACAAACACATGTAGATTTTGCAAATTTTTGAGAAAAATATTCGTAATAAATCGAAATACTTTTTAAAATATCGGTTTTTATTTTTATTATCTATAGTAAACCGTTATAAAGAGATTCTTCTTTGATTTTACATATATTACTAGTTCTCCGGAATAATGATGTATTTGAATTAAATAATGATGTTGTTAAACGAATGACAGGTGAACCTAGAGAATATTTAAGTATAGATTCATCTGAAGAAGATGAAAAGTGTGACACAATAACTAACTTAATACCAATTGAAGTATTAAATATTTTAACTTCAAATGGACTTCCTCCTCACAAATTAATATTAAAGATTGGTGCAATTGTGATACTTTTAAGGAATATTAATTTAGAAAGAGGTCTTTGTAATGGAACAAGACTAAAAGTTATTAAAATGGGTAGTTTTTCTATTCATGCACAAGTAATAACGGGAAATTTTAAAAATGAGATTGTAATTTTGCCACGAATTACATTGTCACCGTCTAACGAAGAAATACCATTTCAAATGTCAAGAAAGCAATTTCCAATAAGGCTTGGATTTGCTTTAACAATCAACAAATCTCAAGGCCAATCTTTCCAAAAAGTAGGCATATACCTTCCTTCACATGTTTTTAGTCCGTGACAATTATATGTTGCATTATCAAGAGTAACTTCAAAATATAATCTTAAAGTATTATTATATAAAAATTCAAGTATTACACTTAGCGAAAAAGGAATAAAAAAAAGATAGGCAATGAAAAAGAAATTTATGTAAGAAACATTGTTTACCAAGAAATATTACAATAATATTTAACACATGTTTTAAAAAAATTCGACTACGAAGAAATCTACTAACTCTACTTTATAAATAAATTAATTCATTGAATTTGAAATGGCTGCGCGGAACTGTAACGGCAGCGCCATAAAAAAATATTATAATTATTATTATACTGATCATATCGCATAGAAAGGATTAAAAAACCATTTAAAAGAAAAAAATATATAAAATATAATCAAGTAATAACAAAAACTGTAAACTGGCTGCGCTGAGTAGTAACGGCTGCGTAACATAACGAAAATAATATAATAAATTATAATAATTTATTAATAACATCACTCATATGAAAATGAATTATAAAAAATTAATTTAAAAATTAATAAGAAATAAAACAACTTACGATAATTGCAGAATGGATGCGATGAATAAGTTAAAACATATTGTAACTTTACATTATTGTAAATGAAAATTAAGTATTAAAAATAAAAAAAATCAATATTTTTCTAAGTCCCTAATTTTTTTGGACTTATAAAAAAAAATAGTTTGTAAGATTTTCTAACAGCATATATGCAAAGTATTTTGATTTATTTGAAAATAATTGAAAATAGATTTTTCAAGGACGGTGTCGAGGTCACAGGGTCGGTGTCGTTTTTCGAAATTTGTTAACTTAATATAATAGAAGATGTTTCGTTTTAAATTAAGAAACGTTAAAATTATTAAGTTAAAAACATTTGATTTTAATGACACTTAAAATTAGACACAATTTTATAGGTTACAAACTAAAAATTGAAAAAACAACAATAAATAATAAAAAATAATAATAAAAAATTGAAAAAATCAAAAAATTCTTAAAAAATTGCAAAATAACCCTTTTTCGGGTTAAAATTGAAAAAAGATGTTACATAAAAATAGTTTATAAGATTTTCTAACAGCATATATGCAAAGTATTTTGATTTATTTGAAAATAATTGAAAATAGATTTTTCAAGGACGGTGTCGAGGTCACGGGGTCGGTGTCGTTTTTCGAAATTTGTTAACTTAATATAATAGAAGATGTTTCGTTTTAAATTAAGAAATGTTAAAATTATTAAGTTAAAAACATTTGATTTTAATGACACTTAAAATTAGACACAATATTATAGGTAACTATCTAAAAATTGAAAAAACAACAATAAATAATAAAAAATAATAATAAAAAATTGAAAAAATCAAAAAATTCTAAAAAAATTGCAAAATAACCCTTTTTCGGGTTAAAATAGAAAAATAAACCTTTTTCGGGTTAAAATTGAAAAAGATGTTACATAAAAAAAGTTTGTAAGATTTTCTTACAGCATATATGCAAAGTATATTGATTTATTTGAAAATAATTGAAAATAGATTTTTCAAGGACGGTGTCGAGGTCACGGGGTCGGTGTCGTTTTTCGAAATTTGTTAACTTAATATAATAGAAGATGTTTCGTTTTAAATTAAGAAATGTTAAAATTATTAAGTTAAAAACATTTGATTTTAATGACACTTAAAATTAGACACAATATTATAGGTAACTATCTAAAAATTGAAAAAACAACAATAAATAATAAAAAATAATAATAAAAAATTGAAAAAATCAAAAAATTTTAAAAAATTGCAAAATAACCCTTTTTCGGGTTAAAATTGAAAAAAGATGTTACATAAAAATAGTTTGTAAGATTTTCTAACAGCATATATGCAAAGTATTTTGATTTATTTGAAAATAATTGAAAATAGATTTTTCAAGGACGGTGTCGAGGTCACGGGGTCGGTGTCGTTTTTCGAAATTTGTTAACTTAATATAATAGAAGATGTTTCGTTTTAAATTAAGAAATGTTAAAATTATTAAGTTAAAAACATTTGATTTTAATGACACTTAAAATTAGACACAATATTATAGGTAACTATCTAAAAATTGAAAAAACAACAATAAATAATAAAAAATAATAATAAAAAATTGAAAAAATCAAAAAATTCTAAAAAAATTCCAAAATAACCTTTTTTCGGGTTAAAATAGAAAAATAACCCTTTTTCGGGTTAAAATTGAAAAAAAATGTTACATAAAAAAAGTTTGTAAGATTTTCTTACAGCATATATGCAAAGTATATTGATTTATTTGAAAATAATTGAAAATAGATTTTTCAAGGACGGTGTCGAGGTCACGGGGTCGGTGTCGTTTTTCGAAATTTGTTAACTTAATATAATAGAAGATGTTTCGTTTTAAATTAAGAAATGTTAAAATTATTAAGTTAAAAACATTTGATTTTAATGACACTTAAAATTAGACACAATATTATAGGTAACTATCTAAAAATTGAAAAAACAACAATAAATAATAAAAAATAATAATAAAAAATTGAAAAAATCAAAAAATTCTAAAAAAATTGCATAATAACCCTTTTTCGGGTTAAAATAGAAAAAAGATGTTACATAAAAGTAGTTTGTAAGATTTTCTAACAGCATATATACAAAGTATTTTGATTTATTTGAAAATAATTGAAAATAGATTTTTCAAGGACGGTGTCGAGGTCACGGGGTCGGTGTCGTTTTTCGAAATTTGTTAACTTAATATAATAGAAGTTGTT